CTGGGGGTGGGGGTGGGGGGGAAGCAGCGCGGCTGCAGGGGGCCCGCAAGGCCAAGGCGAACCAGCAGCAGCAACCAGCAGCAGCAGCAGCAGCAGCAGCAAACCAGCAGCAGCAGCAGCAAACCAGCAGCAGCAGCAGCAAACCAGCAGCAGCAGCAGCAGCAGCAGCAGCAGCAGCACCTGCCGGCAGTGTCGACGTGGACGAAGGAAGTGCGTTGCATGCAAAGCCACTGCAAGTACTGCTTGGCGCGCATGCGTTCGGGCAAAGTGCCGGAGATATAAGCAATGCGCCCCACGTACTCCAATATGGCCCCAGAGGCCCGCGCCAGCTTCTTACGAGTGCTGCCCCGCTGGCCTGCAAAACACGCATGCATGCATGCATGCACTTGCATGCATGCATGCATGCATGCATGCACTTGCATGCATGCACTTGCATGCATGCATGCACTTGCAGGCGGGCATGCGGGAGTGCATGCATGCATGCTTGCATGCATCTGCATGCATGAATCTGCACGCAAGTGCATGTGCACGCATGGAGCTGCATCTCATGCACAACCAAGCATCCACATGCATGCAAATGCATGCATGCATGCACTTGCATGCATGCGTGCATGCATGCATGCAAGTGCATGCATGCAAGTGCATGCATGCATGCATGCATGCATGCACTTGCATGCATGCAGACCTAGTGCGTAGGAGTAGTCCTTTTCGGCAATGGCGACGTAGTCGGTGTCGAAGCCTTCGTTGCTGCTGGAGCCTTCGGAAACGTGTTGGGTGAAGTAGCCCGGCATCTTCTGCTCCACCGCGGACATCACCTTCAGCTCGCTGCCTCGCCGCGCGCGTCTGCAGATTAATTAATTAATTAATTATTTAATTTAATTAAATTAATTAATTTAATTAATTAATTAATTAATTTAATTCATTAATTCATTTGATTGGCTGGTTGGTTGGCTTGCTGCGCGCTTGCTTGGGTGGCTGGGGCTGCTGCTGCAGCTGCTGCAGCTGCTGCTGCTGCTGTAGGGGCAACGGGAACGAACGCGCAGCAGCAGCAGCAGCAGCAGCAGCTGCAGCAGCAGCAGCAGCAGCAGCAGCAGCAGCAGGGGGACTGACTGGCTGCCGAAGATGGCGAGTCTTTCAGTTTGTCCCGCCTTCTCCGAACGCAAGTCCGTGAAAAACATCAAAGTGTTCCACTCCTCCTCCACACTCCGCAGCCCCGCGCCCTTCCGCCCCGTCACGTAACCCACGCACTCGTGCGGCACCTGCATGCAAAACCCTTGCATGCATGCAAATGCATGCAAATGCATGCATGCAAATGCATGCAAATATGCATGCAAATATGCATGCAAATGCATGCATGCAAATGCATGCAAATGCATGCAAACGCATGCATGCAGCTGCATGCAGCTGCAACTGCCAAAACCCCCAAAACCCTCCAAACCCCCCCAAAACCCCCCCAAACCCCCAAAACCCCCCAAACCCTCCAAAAAAAGCCCCAAACCCCCCACCCCCCTGCATGCAAGCCCGCATGCAT